TGTTTCAATTTCTATGCATTTTCGATCTGAATTAGATGCAAAGGCTTTTTACCAAAGACACAGCGATTCACACGCAAAACTTACTCAGACTCAGGTGTTACTCTCAACAATAACATTCAAATACAAAATATGGATAATAAATAGCTTTTGGATGAAAAGTTTGAAAAAATGAATCTGTACCAATACGGAACTCGAACAACGTCGAATAATAGAAACTCAACTGATTTCGAAGTTTCGTAGTTCTTCTATTTTGGAACTGAACCTACAGGTAAAAGAGCAACGAAAATCAGAAATTACTTTCATTCGAGTCTCCAGGTCACTATTACTGAAACTAAAAAGCTATTTTACAGTACAATAGCTTTTTAGGTTACGGAGTAGAATTTTTACTCCGAGCAAAATGAAAGATTTCTGCAGACAAGAGTAATAAGCAGTTGCTCGGGACCTAGAATTAAAAAGCAAGCAATAAAAGAATACTTCAATAGGCTATCGATGCTCGAAACACTTACTGATGATACAGTTCATCTTTAGCTCAACCTGTTCTATGCTTGCTTCTTAATTCTAGGTACTCACGTTCGAATCATCGTCACAGCAGAGTAAATTGTTTCAGTTTCTTTCTTCGTTAACTTGTGAACCTTGACTTTACGACAGTCGTGGTCGGCCGTGTGAGAGCATGGAGACTTTTTGTACACGTCAGCTCGATTCTGAATTTAATTTTTAAATTTTTTCAAAGTTAAAAATTTAACGCGCTTCTACCACAAAAATGGTGTACGAGTTTTTCGAGCAGAAAATGACTGCCTAGGGTACATACACAAAAGTTAAGTTTACCTATCAAAGCGTCTAAGAGTGGAACAGGTAACCACGCGGCGCTTCGAAGGCATAAGAAATCATTTTTCATGACCCCGTATTTCTTCGATGCCGAACGTGTAGTTATACGGGATACCCGTATTTTTGAACCGTTCAGACCCCGTCACCCCGTGGCAAATGAGAGGCGGACCCGTCCAATGAGAAATATTACGGACCGTTTTCTTAATTTTCGGACTCCGTCTTTTTACCCGTTTTTACGCTCTTGGGTAGAGAGTCAGGTAGTAAATTCGGAATATGTATACAGCAAATTCAGCTCTGCGTTCCCTTATCTAAATAGGTATCATTTTCACTAGTTTAATAAAGTGCCTTATAAAGCATTCCTAGATACATCAACGAATGCATCTCGATATTTTTGCTGGGGAGGTTTTGCTTGGGCAGTTATAATGGCTAAAATAGTATAGATGAATATTACTTATAAATAAATTATAACATTCGTCTCATATTTTCTTGTAGTGGGCACCTGAGATTCGTCAATTTTGTCCTAATGTTCCTATATTATTGGTTGGTTTGCAATCAGATTTACGCGATAATGAGAATATGATTAAACAGCTTAAGAAATCGAAAGCAGAATTCATAACACCTGCACAAGGCGTAACAATGGCAAAAAAAATAAATGCAATGAAATATGTTGAGTGTTCTGCTTTGCATGATGTAAGTTGCAACTAAGCAGATAACTTGTATGACAATGATATCCAGTTTCTTTATTCTAGATTGGAATAACTGAAGTTTTTTTTCAAGCAGCACTCATCGCAATAGCAGATAAAAAGAAGAAAACCGGTGCTCTTTGATGTAAATCATCCTCACAAACAAATATTCTTTCTTTATGTATAGTTAAACCTTACTTTTGATTTTTACATCATATTGATATATGTGTTTTGATAGAGTGATGGTAATTAATTATAAATAATAAGAAACTGTCATAAAATATTTCTAAGGATTCAAGACAAATTATTTGGATGTCCAAGAATGAGATTAAGGGAATAGATGGAGAACGCGTAGCTGACCGCTCATTTAAAGGAAGAAAGAAAGCATAACATATGAATTCATCCCGGAATATGTTAGTACATAATATCATGTATATGTTGTAGGCTAAACTGGACTTCGGTGAAAACTCTAACATCGGAATTCGAGTTTTCCCTAGAGAATACTAAGGAGATACATACGTCGATTCGCACACGTCCTCACCGCTTTTTCGATATATTGCTCCACGCACATCCTAACACTGTCCCTAACAAATTAAGATTCGGAGATCTGAAGCTTCCGCTCGGGAGCCGGTCTGCTAGTGGTCTAATTCTGTTGAACTACCAGTCAGAAGTAACGCTCGTTTGCAACGTGATAGTTGTTTACAGAAGCAGTTGCTATAGCTTTTCACCCATCAGAAACGTTTACCAGAGTGAGTACGTGTTTCGAAACCAAGTATGGAATAGAAGTCAAGTCTATCAAGTCCGCATCAGTTCACGAGTTATGTGACTCTCAAAAGTTTGAAAGCGTCACAGCGTTATTAACTCAATTTGTGTAATTCATCGAGTCTCTGTAATTTGATTTGGTTGGCTTCAAAGAACTGGAATTTCTGGAATTTCAATATTTTGAAATTCCAGACAATGCTCACGCGTCGCTTCGGTCCGCGCTCGCAGACACGACAGATCTTACACGTCTCTGATTCTACAGAAAACCCGAACGCATCTCCCCATGTGGATTATTGTCTGTGACGCTCATTAGTGATTCTGTGTATGTACGTCCGTCACACTCACTGGTCACTATATGTATGTACGTCCGTCACTGTGCGTGCTTACGTCCGTCACACCCGTGTACGAAAAATACACACACACACAAACACTTTTAATTTTTTGTATGACAAAATTTTTTGGTATGATCATAGACTTACAGTCAATGGAATAAATTTGTTTACATGTTTCGGGGCTTTCCGTAAAATTTAAATGTCACATAACATTCAACTTGCTGACTTGTGCCTTTTGGCAAAATTCATCAAAATGTCTGGTCTATAAGAGTCCCCTAAACCCCCCGCCCAGAATAGAAGGTCACTGGCCTTAAACAGTGTCTCGGTACACCGCTACTTTTTGGGTCGCCTTCTATTGAGAGTCAATTTTTGGCCAATTATTAATTAAAATAATTTAAAAATTTATAATTAATTAATAACCTTAATTCAATGTCCTTTCAAACTATTACACAACAACCTTAATTAATGTTTTTTAGGTGTTTTTTACTTAAAAACTGCTATTTTTTGTAAAAAAAAAGTATACTATTGATGATAGAACAGAAAAGATTTGCAAGCAGGAGGCGAAGTCGGCAAACTTCCTCGTCTCGAATTAGTACCGCCATGACTCAAATTAGCTGATAATCTTCGAATACTTCAAACAATGTTCAAATTTTAAATGATCAATAATTCTTAATTTATTGTACGAATAACATCGGTTAATAATCGATCAATATTAAATTTTAATAAGCTATGAACAACTTATTGTTCAATTACTAGTTTGCAAATGCTTTCACAAAATTTTCTTTGGAATACCGATGGGATATTTCAAAGCTGTCTTCAATTATTTTCACAATCTTATACAATCCATGTATGGGATTTATAATCAACAAAACTAGTTGTATTTGCAGCATTACCAAGCAAAGAAGTAGTATACACTGAAACGCTTAGTAGTAAGTTGAGTGAGAGATACATAACAACAAACTAAAATTGTTAAGTTGTTTAATGCTTCAAGACGGCTGCAACAAATCTTGGTCTTTTATTACAACCTGAAACAATTTTAATTGATTTTGAATTAGCAGCTTATAATGCATTTCCTGATGCTACTGTTAAAGGCTCCTATTGTCACTACAGAGGAAATATACAAAGAAAAATTCCAGAATTATATTTATACAAAAGTTCCCAGATTATTAAAAAAATATAAAGACAAAGAGAAAGTTCGAGTTTTATTTTATTAAATGTTCAAAATAGTCACTATGATTATTTATACAAGGTTCCATCCTTTCTAATAGTTTGTGAAAAGCTTTTTTAAATTCTTCTTTCGGAACTTTTTATCACCTTGGATACCGCACGAGCCAATGGTTTTTCATCTAATTGATCAGTTAAATTACGTTTGATGTAAGCATTTAGCCAATAATCACATGGTGCAATGCCAGGTGAATATGGTGGATGCGACATTATAATAATACCTTCTTCTGTTAAATAATTAATAACATCGGAATGAATATGGGATCGAGCATTGTCTTGAAGCAATTTTATACCTTTTGTACCTGCTGACTTTCTTTGTTTCCATATTTCCTTCCTGACAGGCTTGAGGCAATTTTCAATATAATAGTTGTGATCTATAGTCTTACCTACATCAACAGCATGTATAAGAACAGGACCATTTGATTTAAAGAAAATAGAAAATAAAGTTTTTGGTTCAAATTTACCTCGACGACCAATAGTAGTTGGTGATTCATCTTCGCCAACCCAGCTTGCATTTGTTGACTTGCGATGAATCTGACTATGGTAAATTCACGTCTCATCACCTGTTATAATATCACATAACCGCCAAGAACCATCACGGAATTTCGTAAAATTTTCACGACAAAGTTTAACACGTTCTTGCTTTTGTTCATCAGTCAGTTGGGTACCCAACGTGATGTAATTTTTTTCAGCTTAAGACAATCGTGGATAATTCTTTCTATTGTACCATGAGAGAGAAATGTCTCAGCTATAATATCATCATAAGTTGAATGTGGATCATTGTTGATAACCTCTCGTACTAGTTCAATATTTTCATCTGTCAGCTCGGATACTGGACGACCAGATCGAGGATCATCATTGACATCTTCTCTTCCTTCACAGAAACGCTTTGCCCATTCTGCAACTATTGGATATGATGGAGCCTTGGATCCCAAAGCTGTAGCAAGTTCTTCGTGAATCGTCTTTGGATTTATCCCCAAAATAGTTCGAATTTTTATATAATATCGATTGTATTCGTTATCCATTTTTGAAAATTTGTTTTTAGTTCGAATTAAAGTTTATCGAAAAAAATACTATAACTAAGTCCAAAAGAGATTTACTATGTATACTATTACAGATAAGTCATTCCACTATTTATCCATGCACAACACTCTTCGATCTTAATTGGTTTATAAAATTGCCAATAGCAATCTGGGAACTTTTGGTCAGACCTAAGTATATGTCAAGTAGCGTTTCCGATTTTATTAAATTAACAGATAATGTTGTTACGAATTATGTAATTGAGGGAAATGATTCGATTTGTCCCGAGCATGAAAAATGTATCGGGTATCGCCCGAGGCAGCTAGATATACTAGATACAAAATATGATACATCTAGAATAAAAAAGAGAAACAATTGAATCGGGTTATCGGCCGATACATCTACAAGGTGTCTGAAAAGTAGCTACCTATTTTAAATTTTTTGTTACTCTTTAAACAAGACTGATAAACTAAACCTTTTTACGGTTTTGTAGCATTTTTGATGACATTTTGTCCTAGATAGAAAAATCGTCTGACTGTTCAAGGTCAAACACGAATTTTTCCTAAAAGATATCTGACAAAAAAGTCCTCATTTTGAATCGTTTATTACTTTTATGATAACAAATATCAGAACAACCTTTTTATTGTTTTGAAGTGTGTATAATACGTAGCGTAATAATGTCTCAAACTTCCACATAAGCCCTGCGTTGTCCATACATTTCTGTAATCGATCTTGTACGTTGTTCGTTGTCTTCTTCAAAAACTCTTGTGGAATGTTATTGAGAGTAACACGGATTCCCCATTCTAGTTCTTGAACGGATTCCCCATTCTAGTTCTTGAACTAGAATGGGGAATCCGTGTTACTCTCAATAACATTCCACAAGAGTTTTTGAAGAAGACAACGAACAACGTACAAGTTTCTTCTTTTACAACTTCTTCTCGTACAACTTCTTTTTTGTTACGCACATATGTATTTCTTTTCTTTGTTACATGTATTGATATCATCGTCCATTTCTTTATTTCTATTATTATCATTCCTGACTATATTCGTCTGCAGATCATTTAGTTTACTTCAATTTTACTATTTTTCTTTTATAACGTTCGAGACAGTTCTGTCATGGTATATATGTGACTATTTTTCTTCATTTTTGCAGTAGTTATTATTGTCAGTTTTAGTCGTTACAGTGTGCGTCGAGCGCGTGTTTTCATATACTCGTTTTTTTCCATATTAGTTTTAATAAACATATTCATTGAAATAGTTTGTCACAGCCGTGTAGATCACACGGA